AGTGACCTCAAAAGGAGAAGACACATGAACACCTCAAGCACAGGGATATGTGTCATTCATCTCTGCAGCTTCAGTATGAGCACAGAAACTGGCACCAAAAAAGATTTAATCCTGAATACATAACTGAATGATTGAATAAATCGAAGAGATGGGCAAGGGCAACCTAGGCAGAGGAGGAGAGTCTGGGCAATGGGAGAGGCTTAAAAACACAGATGCATTCAGTACAACTTGCTGGAGGCCACGTTCCATGACTGGGGAGAGCAATGGAAGATAAATCTGACCACCACATTGGATAGGTGGTAGATCTGAGGCTAAGAAAACTAAGATTTATCCCCTAGCGGCCAGAGTCTAGTCGATAGGTCTCATAGGGGAGTGACCCGATCAGGTCTTTGCCTTAGAACATACCTTGGGCTATGGGTGAGCTGGGAGGCTCAAGATCCAGTTTGGAGTCTGCATAGTAGTTTAAAGGAAAGAGAATAAGGGCCAGAATCAGGGCAGTGGCAGAAGAACTGGAGAAGAGATGGATAGTGCAGACATCTAAGGGACATGCTGCCTGATTACATGTGAGATGTAGGGGAAGAAGGAGTCTCTGGGACTCAGGCTAAGTCATAACAGACATCCATTCATTTTCTCACCAATTACGTCCTGTGCTAGACTGTGGGCCAGGCGACAGAAGATACAGGGAAGAATAGAATTCAGCCCCTGCTTTTACAAGACTCAGAGCCTAGTAGGAGAAACAGACACGTAGATAACAATAGCAATGTAATACAGAATAGAATAGAATAGAATAGAATAGAATAGAATAGAATAGAATAGAATAGAATAGAATAGAATAGAATAGAATAGAATAGAATACATACAAGTCATCACAAGAATTATATTCTGGAATATGTTTGGACACAAGAAATATCCAAGCCCGAGTAATCCCAAGCCATGATGTTATAGGTTGTATAAAGCTATGGGATCATTCATTCAATCATTCATTTAAAAGACATTATGTACTGAGAACCTATGTGCCAGGCACTGGTCTAAGTGTGGGGATACAACAGACAAAAATTCACAAGAGAAATAAATAAAATACACAGTATGTGAGATAGAGATTAGTGTTAAGCAGGGAAAGGAAATAAGAATCCTCCACGGCAGGGGCTGGGGAGGGTTGGGCTTTTAGAGAAGACAGCCAGGGAAGGCCTTCCTGAGAAGACAGAGCAGCAGACAGCAAGGCGAGCAACTGTTCCCACGGCTGCTGTTCCTCTTCCAGCCACTTGCTCTGTTTACCTCGATTTCTGAGATTCTCTTCATTCTCTCCAATGCAAACACTTCAGTCTTGATTCATTGGATTGGAACTCAACGCTTCTCAAAACCGTCCTCACTCTTTATGGAAGAGAGAGCCTTAGTCCTTTTAGAGTCTGAAGACAAGGCCAGTGATAAATCAAGACTAAGAGAGCTCGATATTTTTATACACGGTACACACACACACACACACAAATACCACGCTGAAGAGTCATGTTGCACTTTCCGCCCTCAGAAAACATCAGTCTGGACAGGAGGCGACACCCATAGGCCTTCCTGAGCCCACATTTTCATGGCCCTTAGAAGCACTCCCCACCTCCGCCCAGGGAGGGTGTGGCCCTGGATCCTTGCACTTCCTGTGCGTGGAGCTGTTCCAAAGCTCTACAGAAGGATTTGTTTCATCAATTAACCAGTCACTGCAGGCATTGATGTAGTGTAGCCTGTGCTCACGCAGTGGCAGCTCAGAGAGGCGCAGGCGAGGTTCTGCTTGGAGGACTAGGTGAACCCTCTTGGTCTCCTACCCTCCATCCACCTGGCCCACCGTCACCAGAGAGACACTTCTCAGCACAGCCTGAAACACAACAGGATCTTGTCCTGCCCTTTGCTCTCCCCCTCTTCAACTTGTCTTCAAACTTTTTCTCTTGGCTTCTGTGAGGCCGTCTTTTCATGGTTTTCCTTTGACCTCATTTGCTGCTGCTTCTCAGCCTTTTTGCTGCCTCTTCCTCCTTGAATCCAACCCCTAAATGTTGGTGGACCAAGATCCTATCTTTAGCCCTCTTCTCAAGCCTCATTCTCCTCATTCTGTCCCCAGGTGATATCATCTCACTCTGGCTTTAAATGCCAGCTACATTCTGATTCAAGACCTTTCTGCTGAGCTTCATAATCAGAGATCCTCACTTCTCAACTGGAGTGTTCACTTCACATCTCCACTTGGGTGTCTATTAGACATTTCAAACCTAGCATGACCAAAACAAAAATTCTGGATTTTTCATTCTTCCCAATCCTCTTCCCCCAATCTTTCCCCTCTCAGAAAATGGTACCTAGAATCTATATAGATGCTCAGGCTCCAAACTTACGCGTCTTTTTCTTTTTTTAAAATTAAGATTATAATTGACATATAATATTAGTTTCAGGTATAATGATCAGATATTTGTATACATTGCAAAATGATCACAAGTCTAGTTAACATCCATACAGTTACATACAGTCGTACCATACAGTTACAAAAATTATTTTTCTTGTGATGAGAACTTTTAAGATCTAAGCCACTTTAAAATATACGACACAGCATTATTAACTATAGTGACAGTACCCTACATTACCTCCTCAGGACTTTATATATTTATAAATTTTTATCTCCCACTGCCTCTTGAACAGACCAACCTTGCACTCCAGCTCCCTCAGCCTGGAGCATTTTCTCCCAGATCTTCAATGGGCAGCCCGCAGTTGGGTATAGCAAGCCTGTGAGTTTTCAGTGGGTAATGCCGATGTGGAAGAGGATGGCTGGGCTTGGGGTATTTTGCTGTTTCACTACCTGACGGGACTGTCTGCCAGATGAGGGTGCCCCAAAAGCAGGAGGCAGAGGGTTACATCACCAGAGCTAAGAGCTAAGGAGGATGAAACAGCTTGTATCAAGACATAGCAACCACTGAGGAGAAGACACAGATCTTTGCCCTTTTCTTCTCCACCCCAGCCCACTGGAGGAGCTGGAGCCCAGAAGAGAGAAAATCTTTGAATCAGATAGAAGGGTTTTAAGTTTTTAACCCATTTCCTGTTTGCCCCGAGAATACTCACCAGCGGCGCTTGTGGCTGCATTTACCCCGAGATAACTCGCAAATTACAGTCCTAATCTTACCCCCAATGTTTGCCACAAAATATCTCACCTTTATTATTATTTTCACATTGCTCTAGTATATCAATAATCTTTGGAAACAGATGACATCATTCTATTTATAGCATTCTGTTTTTAGTAGTGGTATTTCCATTTACCAAATATAGTAATTCTCAATCAAAGAACATGGAAAATCCTAGAAAATGTAGCATTCCTATGCATGATGTTAACAGCATTCTCGAATAGTTGTTAGCCAAAGATTCATTTGATGAATCCGATTAATGTATACATTTTTGTTACATTAGGATTAGAGACAAGTTCTGTTTAGAAATAACTCCAAGAACAGGTTTTATATTTTATTTTCACATTGAAAACCAGTACGATTTGCTTCAGCCTCAAAGAGCGTCTTTATGTAAAATTAATTTAATGCTGGCAGCGAGCTGCACTTGTTTGTCTAAATGGGAAATGAGTTAAACTGCCTTGAGATTTATTTACCAAAAAGAATCAGAAAACTGTGAAATTAGTCTGCCTAGCTCCAAGCCTACCCTCTTCCCACACCAGTCTGCTGCCTCAGCTCTCAGCCTTGTTTACTCTTGTCCTGGAAGCTGGTTTATTTCCTTCTCTGGGGAAACAGCAGACTAAAAACAGATATGTTGTTCAACTGCTAGAAATGGATCCTGTTGACCACCTATGTACTCTAGACCCCATCCCATCAAACGGAGTTTTAAATGCCCTTACCCTATTTGAGGCCCTCAGAACACTGACACAGGCCAAGAAAGCATGCAGTGGGAACAATGAAACCCCAGACACCCAGGAGCTGCAGCCCGCCATGGTTACCAAGGATGGCTGTCCGTCTGCATTCCACACAGTGCTCTGAAGGTATACCAATGACATGCTAGATTTCCTGGGACATACCTGGTGTATATCCGCTGTCCTAGCCTCATTATTAATAGAGTTCTCTTTCAGTCTCAAAATAATTCCATTCTAGATGATAAATTACGTGGCCACTCTACTAAATATTTATAGAAATCAGTTGACAGAGGCAACTTCAAGGCATCCTTGAACTGGTTCATGACTAGGACTAAGGGCAAACACGAACAGGACGACTCAGACAAAGCAAGAAGGAAAGCCAGGCCAGGGCAGGGACTGCTCATTATGCTCCCTGGCCCAAGACCGTGACCAGTCCTTAGAGAGGAAGTGCTGAGGACTGCTGTCAGGATTCCTGTGGATACCCTGGGTGGCTGTCATTTACCCTTCAGGTAGCACATGGTGGATAGAGTCATTTTTCTTGTGTGGGCTTGTCATCTTCAACAAGTTATGAACCAAAGACTCCTGTAGGTATTAGACCACTACCTTATATATTGACCCAGGTGTCACTGAGGGCTTGCCCTCCCGCAGAACACGTAGACAGAATCACACCGAGTGAAGAAAATAATCTCAATGTTTCAAATGACTCCCCAGGTGCCTTTTTTAAAAAAAATCCATTTCTGGTTCAACGAAAGAAAAGAATACATGTACAGCTCTGCCACTGACTGGCTTATATTTCTTTACCTCTTTCATCCTATTTTCCCATTTTGGAGCGGGGACTAGCTCCTTTCCAAAATTCAAAATTCTGAATAAACTCTATGAAATAAATGTATCCTAAATTCTACCACGACCTAAGCAACAAGTAATTTTAAGTTTATTCTCTTCTGTTTTACCCTTTCCAAATCTGGATACAGGGTTTTTTTAAAAAAAACAAAACACACCAATACCTAATACCACTCAGGGCTCATCGGACTGTGTATCATCACTTTGACCCAAAGGCTGTTACAAGGATCCTCAAAGTGTATTTATTAGAACACATTTTGCTCATAGGCACTATAGGAGAAAACAAGAATTCCATGATCAAAGATGTTTATTGACATGCAGAATTTAAAACATTAACACATCTCTTTCCTACAGGACTTCTTAGAGCTTTCAATGTGCAAACAAGCATGTGAATCCCTGATTGAAAAAAAAAGGGAGTGCTGAGAGGCCTCTCCCTCCTGTTGATGATGGTGCTCTTTTTATTTTTGGTAGAAAATCTGGAGGAATGGGAGTTTAAGGTACACACTTTGGGAAACATCATTCTATCCACCTTACGGGGAATATATCTTTACAATATATAACTAACACATGAAAAGCACTAATTATATTAATAATGTCACTAATATTAATAATGTTGAGTCCTTTTTTATTTCATCTTCCATAATAGTTTAATGTCATGCTTTTTCTTTTTTTTTTAAAGATGGACAAGTAGAATTATTTTAGTCTTCTTTTAGTTCTATGAGTTACTCTGTATAGAGCATGTGGGTACAATTCTTTAGTAAATTACATCTACTTGTGAACTAAACATTTTTGACTTTGTACCATTATCTATCTTTGCTGAAGGAAGTTTCAAATTTGCAAATAATCAAAATAAAAAATCAAGATGCTTTATAAAAGGAGCATCTGTTAAAAAAAACTCAGTTCTAAACTAGGTGTTCAGTGAACTTTTTGCACCGAGCAAAAGCAAAACCACACAAAACCCCCAAATACCAGACATAGAGATGAAGACCTCTCTTCTTCCTCAGGCTAGATTTCTGCTAGATTCCAAAGCAAACTCTACTGGAACTCAGAATATTCCTTTGCTACACATAGTATTTCTTATGTGATCTGATGAAAGCACCATGGTTATACGTTTCTTGAGTGCCTTATCAGAATTATCCTTCTGAAAAGTTCAAGAAATTACGTTAAAAGCCACCTGGAGGAAGGTTAAGCATCGGTGCTGTATTTGAATGTCCTCACAGACAGCCACATTGCAGACTCAAATTACCTGCCTATTGAGAACAACATGCATCTGCTTTATAATCCATTTGCTTTTTTCCTCCACTGGTACATTTAGAAAGAAGTGCTGAGAGGCATAAATGAAAACTTAAGTCAAAGTCTTTTCTTTATATACTGTCATGATCACATTGATAAAACATTCATAAAGGCATTTATTGGAGTGGTGATTCTGATCCATTCTGCATTCTCCCAATATTCATTTTTACTACTATACTTGATTATATGTGCCTGCAGCTTAGACTAGTCCAATAAAAGTGGCACTTTTAAAGCTAGTGAAAAAAAGCCATATTGGTTTTTCTTAGAGCACCTTCCAATGATTGTTACTATAAAATAAGTAAAGTACATGAGAAAAGTCTCCAAATTGCACAAGTACAGAGCTCCCCAAAAGCACACTGAAAACTATGCAGAATAATTTTGATTAGGCTGCATGACTGTGCCAGGCTCCAAACAAGTGGTTATTCTGTTGTGACATCTGCTGGGCAATGCATCCATTGTTCTCTGGAATTTAATTCATTTTAAATTACTTCATCCAAATGATAAAACATGAGATGTGCTACACTCTGGGGGTAAAATGCAATGATTGTTTTTAGTGTGACCACAACTGTTAGCAGGGGAAGTGATACAATCTGTTCTAATTAGTCTCTGATTATCATCTTCTGAAAAACAGAGAGCTCAAAAAACCTAAGTGAAATCTTGTTAAACGGAAGGATTGGCATAAACAATCTTGCCCGCTCTGGTGTGACCGCAAGGCTGGCAGATCCATATGTAAAGTCTTCCCCAAAAGTAGAGCAACAGTCTTTGGAAGAGAAACTATTTCAAAACTGAAAGCAGCTTGGGATACTGAATGACTGTAAGATATAGTTTAGTATGTATACCAATAGTCAACACGATTTTTTTACTGATCAAGGACTACTGTACAAATAACCCCAAATTCGAAATAAAACTGCTTAAGAAGTACTGTGAAAGTTTCTAAGAGTTGAATGCAGTGGGGAACACTGCCATCTGGAAACATCGGTGTTTAGGCCTAAAAAAAAAAAGACAAAAACCCAAACTGAAAACAAGATGAATCTCAGGAGAAAATATACACATACACACACATAAGGATTTATATCTCCTGTATGTCTCATATTTAATATAAACCTTTGAAACAAGTTCGAATGAAATAAAAATCAAAGTTCTCAAAAAGTAAAAGATTAACTTAACTGCTAAAGAGTCCCTATTGCCCCAAACATCAGTATGCTTTTTATTTCTATGCAAAAGTATGCCTTCAAATTGCTTAAATGATATATGACACACAAACCAATTTTCAAATAATAAAGCCAGTCATCTTGCAATTTAAAAACATTAGGTAAAAGATATTATGACACATTATACACACATCACACATACACGCACACGCACACATACCAATGACAAAATTCGGCCTCTCCAAAAACAGGTACGTGAAGACCATTAAGCGCCATCAGGAAGGTACACCATATCACCCCTCCCTACAATCCATGTAGTTTCCTTTAATCCAATAGCAAATCTGGGCATATTTGAGAGGGGTGATTCTGACAGCCACGTTGAAATCCTGTGGAGAACCATTCATGTCCACCCACTGGTGCCCTGAAAAGATGCCGATGATTTTTCGCTCCCACTTCTGCTGCTGTCTCTTCCACATCCTCACGTAAACCCCTGACCCGCTGGCCCCAGGCTGGGCATCACACTGCTGGTAGAGCAGGTCATAGGTCTCGTCTTTGACGTCGCAGAAGCGGTACACCAAATTGCCTGGTCGATCATTGTCATAACCAGAGAAGTGAATTCTGCCCCCTGGCAGCTGCTTGGCAGGAGGGCTCACCCCAATCTTCATGAACTTTCTTTTGTGGGGTTTTTTGAGTTCCAGGAGGGCATAGTCATAATCCATGCCAATGTCATTGGCGTTGCCCTTGATCCAACCCTTGGGTACGTGTGTGCGTTTCACTCGGATCCACTGAAATTTCATCTTGTCGGGCACGGCTGAGCTAGAGGTGTTGGTCCCTTGACCACCATCTTTAAACTTGGGCTTCAGGAAGCCCACTCGAAGTTTCTGGGTTCCTTTCACATAGGTTTTCCCGTCGTGTATGCAGTGGGCAGCTGTGAGGACGTGCTTCTCTGCCACCAGGGTGCCGGTGCAGCCTGTAGATAACTTCACCGATGTTGAGAAGGGGTAATTGAGCAGGAAGTCCTTCCCAAAAATGCTGAACCTGCTGTCGTAGCCATAAATCTGCCGCTTCCTCCGAGACTTCCCTGAAGACCCTGCCCCGCCACCGCTGAGGACATAAATGCCCACCTGCGTCTCTGTGCGGCTGCCGTTGGCATAGAGCGTTTCATAAGACAGGTACTGCTTGACCTCTTCATAAGTGGGCAGTGGCGTTCCTTTATGGCACTGGGGGCCACATGAGGAGGACACTTCCAGTTTGGCGTCAGCCCCAAAGTCTGGCTTGGTTAAGTGGAGAGTGGACTGGGGCAAGACAACAGGGAGGCGGTAAGCAGGCCAAGTGGGTTTCCAGTGGGCAACGGAGGGGCTTGCCTGTCCGACAGCACAGAGGAGAAGCAGGAGGAGGAGGAAGAGCCCTGGAATCCCCGCCATGCTGAGCACCACTCTGCAGGAACAAAGACAAGCGGGTCAGGAGGGCAAGCGCTTACCAAGAGAGAGCCGGTTTACCCCGGGAGCAGTCAGCGGCATGCCTGTCGTTGTTTCTAAGCCTGTAAACCCTCCTCAGGAATCAGGGTGTGGAGAGGAATCCCTGGATAGTGGCCTTACAATGCAGGGGCTTGACCTTGGACATTTCTGTGGTTGGGCGCCTAAAACGAAATCGGGTGTTCACTCCCTTCCATGCTTAAGATGCCCCTAGAGACAGCCCACTATGGGGCTGCGTGCATACATTTATTAATCCTCAGGTGAACTGATGAACCAGCCCTGGTTTCCATGTAATTTTGAGCCTTTTTGGTGCTTCATTCTAAACCTTCCTACTTTATTGCTCCCTGTCTTTCCTCCTTTCCTCTTTCTCATAGCTTGTACTTGGGAAACTTTCAGAGCAACTTACTTATGTAGAGAGTTGATTTAAATTACTCAGCTTACTGAGTGACAAGGCAACAAGGAGGGATGGATCTACAGTGGCATACTTACTGGGACTCTCATCACATCTAAATGGTGGGTGCATTCAGAAAAGGGTATGAGAGTTATGACTTTTTTCGAAAATTTGGAACGACTTTATTATACATTTAGTTCCAGAGTAACAAACAAAATATTCCTTTTTCCTTTGGATTTTGTTGTATACTACCAAGACCCTTGTCAAAGGTTGACCACATTATGACTGTTACTGTTGGTTACTTTTTCAGGTCTCTGTATCTGTGTTGCCAGCTAGTCTAAAAGTCTTGTATTTGGGCCTATGCTAGCACTCAAAAAAGATGTATTGAATGAACGCTTATATTAGTGGAAGAGCGAGTGAATGAATTGTGTGGTTCACAAAATGCTTTTCTTGAATGATGCTAAGTGTTAATGAAAGAGATGCACAAGGGTGACGTGGTAGCTCAGAGAAACGGCATGAAATCAGTTCTGGGGAGTGGGAAGAACAGGCACGTGTTCCAGGGGAGGTGATGCTTGAGATGGGTGTCGTAGTTCAACAGAAGTTAGATAGTGTATGACAGAGTGAAGGAGGCTCTTAGGGAGAGGGAACAACGGACTGTGCGAGGGCAGGGAGACAGGCAATGGTGCGCCATTTCAGGAATTACGCTTAGTTTAGCAAGTGTGGAACAGAGGAAGTGGTGGAAGCAGAAGACCATAGATGGATTATGAAGGGCTGTGCATACTAAATGAAGGAGTTTGGATTTTATCCTGAAAATTATGTTTAAAGACCAGGATCAATCACCCACAATAACAAAAGATGGGAAGTAGTACTTTCATAAATGTTCAAGCATCAGGTACTTCTGACCGGCTCTGAATCTTTTGTTCAAGAGAAGGTGACCTAGCAGGTGGCGTAATTCACTCACAATCAAACATCCCAAAACAAGGACAAGGAGGGGTTAGATCTTAAGAGGCTAGCTAGCAGAATGTAGCAGGAGTCAGGAAGAAACTGTTTCATTATTCTCAAATAAAAAAATGAAAATTGCAGACCTGCTGCAATTTTGGGGTATCTTTGCTTTCTTTTACATAAAACTGAAAAATCCCATTGAGCTGATCTAGTCCAGCTGAGTATGCTAATCCATATCCTCATTATCTACATGCTATATTTCTAAAACATGTGGGTGCCCCACCCACCTTTGGGATCTGTTTGTCTTTCTCTTTGATTCCACCCTGTCAGGGAGAACGGAGATGGGAAACAAAAAGAATGAGGTCCTGGAAAAGCCAGTTCCTTGGGATTTCCTGATTCCTTGAAACTGATTCTCCCCATTTTTCCAAATAAGAAGGGTCCCTGGGCCCTTTTGGGAGAAAGTAATAGATCTAATTATTTCTCTAAATCCTTGAAATCATAGTGTATGTGCGTATGCACACACGTGTTTGTATGTGCTTTTGAGGGTATTGTCAAGACTGAAAGTTCTAAGGAGATGAGGGAGGGGACGTGAATGCTAGTAGAGGCTTCTTCCCCGATGGGAACTTTGCAGGTGGGGTAGATGTGGTGAGGACAACTCTTTAGGAGACTTTGAGGGATGGTTCTGTGTCTGATTATTCTTCTGGATAGGGACCCAGATTTTGGACATCGCTAGGGCTTGGATAGCCTTTTCTCTATGTACGTTGCTGTCTAGGTAACTAAATGCCCCTACACTAGAATCCCTGCCAAGTGTGATGTGTATGAGGAGGAATCTTGCATCTCCCATAGGGCTGTATCTTGGACCCCTAGACACTTTGACTAATGTGGAGAACATTAATGCCTGCTAACATGTAAGCCAAGTTTTACTTCGGCTTATCTTTAAGAAATAAAATACAGAATCCAGACAAAGGTGCAAGCTGCCAAGTATTCCTGTTTTCAAAATATGATTCTTGGGGGAGAGAAAGGAGGAGATGAGATAGTATTAGACTATAGATTATCATAAGTTGTATCATAATAGTTTTGATGTTCATGACAGTTAAAATACGCTCATATTATTATCTAGATCAAGCATCTTCAAATACCAAACCTGAAATTTGTATATTAACTGTATTCTGGGAATATAGAGTTTGAATTATCTACTACAGAAGAATTGCTCCAGTGGCATCTGTTTTTAGCTTTATCCATTTATCCAAACACTAAAATAACCCATTGGCAAGGGTGTCGGGAAAGATAACAGCAGGAAAGAGTCAAACTAGTTCAAATACACATTTAAAAAGCTATCTAGGAAACTTGTATTAATGAATTAACCCCCCTCTCAAGCAAAATTAACTCTTATTTCATTTTTCCAAGGACTTTGCCTGTATAGTAAACCCAGTTTAAAAAATACTTTCAAAGGCCTTGAAGCATATGCCTCATCTCACAAGTGCCACCATGGCATACCTCTTTTTAAATTTTTTTAATGCCTGTATTTCAAAAAGAAACATTTTTAGAAAACAGTTGATGAGAGTCAGTGGGCATGGAGAAATGAGAACAAGCCTCTTCTTGGGTGTGAGCGCCAGACAGTCAGTGAGGCTCCCTCACTAGCCACAGCATCACTCCAGCCTCTCGACAGGACCAAATTTGTTCTTCAGCAAAACAATGATGATGATGCCAAGGACAGCCAGGATCACTTATAAATCACAGAATGTTGTTGGAGAATGCTACAGAGTCCACCACAGAATATTACTAGAATTTTACTATTTTAAATAGAATATTATCTAATGACTATTAGAAAATATTACTGATTCAGAGTCTTTACAACTTAAATTCCCGTCATTTAGCCAGTTAAGTCAGCCATCTATAAGTAAAGGACCACTAACCCACAAGCCAGGGTGAAGTTATAATGCCTTAGAAATAAACTTTTCTTAAAACAAAACAAAACAAAACGAAACTTTTCAAATATCTCAGAAAAACTACTATTCAGCTAACACATTGCTTAAAAGTCCTCAATATTATTAGTTACACTATTCATTAACTTGTGGAGTAAAACCTTGTTCTGATATTTTCTATCTTGATTAACATTTCTATGTAACTCTGAAAGCTATAAAACTACATTAAAAAAAACTTTAATTCAGATTTAAAAACTGACAGGTCAAATTATTTCAAATTGATTTGTTTTTTAAATACTTGATCAGAAACTGGGAGATAAAGTTGTGTGCTCTCAGTCCTCAGATGGGTTTAAGCTGACATCTGTATTAAAGTTACAAGCTTCATAAATTGCTCACTCCTTCTACCAAATGTGTTAAAGGTGGTTTAGAAATTATGAATAGTGACCTGAACCACATGATCTCTTTAGTGGTTTCAGCTCTGGTCTTTTCAGGTCCAGGATTCTCTAATTTTATAATTTCTCAGGGTCACAAAAGTCCAGGTCGAGCACTGTGCTGTTTACAGATGGCATCTGCACTGTCATTTACCGCTTAGGAGCCTTTCCTCCCGAAATAATGGTGCATTGGGGAAAAGGAAAAGGAAAGTTTATTGTGCTATCTCTTGCTTATCTGGGTGACAAGATTTCCCTGATCAGTCTTCAAAGTAAACAAAGGTTTCCAGCAGAGGGCGGCTTTCAAGAATGGCATGGAGGGAAGGCTGGGTGTGAATGCTCCCAGAGAGGTGTGAGGCGGAACCAACCCTACTACCCACTGCAGGACTTTCCTGAGGCATTCGCACCTTAGCCTGACCCCTTCTCCATTAATAACACACTAAGGATGACTGTGATGCTTTAAAATTAGGTTGGTAGCTTTGCATTAATTTCCCAACTCAACTGATAACAGAAGAACTCCCCAAAGACAAATATATTTTTCATTTTTATCAACTCTAGGTAAGCCTGCTCTATGCCCGTTTTATTTAAACATAAACACTCCAGGATGTAAACAGATATAATAAAAAACATTCATGAGCTTGCAACTGGAAGGTAACTAACAGGTTACCTAAATTAAATTCTCTCTTACCTTTACAAATGAATCACCTTATCCTTACAGAATTGTCTGGAAAACTTACATATTTCAAAAAGAAATGAAGATTTCCAACTCTTTTCCTCATTATATCTAAATCTGGATGTAGAAAATTCAGGTCTATAACATTTTGTTTCTAGGAATAAGCCGTTACTGGATAAGGATTTCTCATATACAAAATTATCTTTTAAAGTTCCCAACTAAGTATCTTCATGCATCACTTCACCTAAAAGGCAAAGCAGAATGGAAAATTATGGTGGGCAATTATTTTTTCACCATGTTTAGTAATGCAGAAACTATATATTCCTTTTCCAATTCTGTATATCTGACTCAGAAGAGGATTACACGTTCCATGCTCCATCACTCAATCTGAGCCACTGTCCCGTTGTCCATTTTCTAAAAATACATATACCTTATGAGGATGCTGCCACTTCATACACCCACTATAAACCTTACAGTGAAGGGACTTTCTTAGATGTACAAACAACAATCGTCTGCTTGGAGATGATTGGAGCACTGAAGACTGATCTCTTGGAGTTCTGCACCTTAGTCTTCAAAACTGCAACAACACAGGTCTCCTCAAGAGGGCCAGTGTTTGGGAGAATGATAAAACCCCTAAAGCAAGTTAGTACTGGGAGGGAAATCTAATCCTTAGGACACACATTCTCTATTGCATAGTGTATGAACTCCTATGACCACTATAAACAGTAATGACAAAGAAACAGTGGGAAAGTTTGTAAAGATAAAAGTTTTAGGCACCAGTTGGAAGGATGACAAAGGGTTTTCCATGGAATCTGTGGCCAGGAACACTGAACAGTGAAACTATGCTAATTCCTAAAGCAAATACCTAAACATGAACAAAGCTCTGTGAACATTCTGCAGCCAAGCTTGCTCTCATTTTCCAGAGTCACAGAATCTGTCAAAGTAAAATGGACCTGATCACATAATGGTTTAAGAATTATAGTCTTGTACAGGAAAGAAATGCAGGGCATTTACAAGACTAAACCACCTTAAACATAATCTTGTGGTCAAAAACGAAGCTTAACTTCTTCTCTATCAGGTTTTAGGCAAAATGAACTACCCCAGTGAACTGGGACAAACTTGGCAGCAGAACAGGAACAAAGCGTATAAAACTGTCAATGGTGAGTCCATGAGAAACGAATTCCCCGGAGTCAGTGGTAGTTATGCATGAATGATGTCTGGTGGATTGAATCCTAAGGGACCTATGAGAAGAAATGTGCAGGAGAACCTGAGACACTTAAACAGTGCAGAGCAGGGCCAGTAATGTTCTCAGATCCATTAATGAATGGGCTGTGGCACTTATGCTACAGACAGAAAAATGTGCCCACCATTCACCATCTACCTGAGTTAAGTTGTCAGTGTTACAAAATGAGATCCATATTAGTTACCTCAGAAAAAATGCTTCCTTTCCAGTTTCAGGCACAAGAAAACATGACAAGTTATCTCTTGATTTTAAGTGGGATTAATACAAGTTAAACAATTTATTCAAATGCAGATGGTGTGCATATGATCACAAACACTTTCACAAGTAAATACAATGGCTTTTTGTGGCATTTCCTAAGTTCCGTCTCTCCACTCCACCTCAAACCTGTTCCTGTCTAACAGATTTCTGCACAGTGATAAAGTCTATTTGAAATGCTATTATGCACAAGTAGCATCCTGAAATAAGTGCAATAAACATCCTGATATTAATTTGGCATTCGGCTTTTGACCACAGCTGACTTCGAACTATAAATTCAACTCCTTCCCACACCACCACATGAAAACGATTCTGGCACTGGCCTACCTGCTTCTAAAAAGTGCTTAGGAATCCCCTCAAGTTTAATTTCAGGAGCTGAGAGAAGTCAGCCCCATGCCAACACCAACCGGGAGCTTTCCACTCCCTAGTGGCTGTTTCTGAAGTCTCATGGGTGTCGCCCAAAGGGCAATAAAACAAACAGGATTTTTATCAGCTTCTTTCTCATGAGATGTTAGAAAGCAAACCTAATTTGTACTCTGGAGGGGATTTTCCTTCACCTAAATAATTCTCCTCCCTGCTCTTTTAGAACATTTAAAAAACATTTTTCAAACTTTTATTTACAAGTTAACTCGTGAACAGTGAAATATTTGCTTTCAACAAGCCCGTTGATAGTTCACAGACAGCAGTTTCTAGGGAAGCACACAGTCATCAATTAAGGCTCCAGAGAAAAGAACCAATTCCCCAACCCGTGCTTGCTGCACTTTTCTCGTTGCTAAGGTGTGTTCACCATCACGTGCCCAGAGTTAAAAATTAGTGTTCGGATCTTGTTGGAATACATACATGCAAAACTCAAGGAAAACAGGAGATGGTGGTGGTGTTGGTGTGTGCGCGTGTGTGTGTGTGCAGCCAGAGGAAAGCTTGCTCAGAGCCGGCTCTTTCTCTACTCCCGCCCGGCATCCACGATAGCAGTTCAGAAACTGCTTTCCCCATCCGCCTTACGAGTGACACTGCGTAAATCCAAGCGACCAGCAGTCCTCGAGCCCGAGGGCGGCGCGGACGTGGTCTCCGGCGCCCCAGCAGT